ACAGAAAGTTTAAATAATGTCCAATGTTACAGAGCCTTTGCTAAAGCCTTGATTTAAATGTATATCTTTCTGATGTGAAAGCCAGAATTCTAAACCTATGCTTAAAATTGCTGGTTGAGAAGTCAGCTTAGTAAGTTGCAATCAGCACTATAGAAAAAAATTGAACATAATGGAAAACACCAGAATGTGTCACACATAGTTTGGATGAGTAGGTCCTGATACCTGAAATTTTTGTTTTAACTATAGAGATATTTATGTACATATGGATATAAGCACATTTCTGTGCACTGGGCCACAATGTAATTGATATTTCTTGCTGTGTCATAGTCAAATCTGAAAACAAAGTAGGTGGCAGAGAAATGAAGAGAAAGAAAAAAAGAGAAAGCAAGAGTAGAAAACATTCATGAGTGAATGACTGAATAAATGTCAAAGAGATGGATTTGGGGAGAGGAAGAGGAATTAGAAGGAGTGGGGAGAGAGAGAGAAAGGACAACTCTGAGACTGAAACAGAAATTCAAGGTTAGATGGAGGGGGAAGAAGAGAAAGAAGATGTCATGTGGAAATTTAATAGTTCTATCCACCGTTCCAGTCATAGCACCTGCCCCTATTTGACAGCAAAACTGGAGCTCTCAGTGGGGTGCACTTTTCATATGCTTCTCATGCTGTGATCCTCTTGTCATTCTGTGTGTGAGTTGAATGAAGAAATTTATTAAGCATGGCTTCTACATAGAAGTCACATGGTGTTCAAATGAAAATCAGTGATCTGAAGTGAGGTTAAGGGGAAATAGGCTGTGCTGAAATTGAGAAAAAGTATGAGATCCTCAACATATTGCTTCCTATGGAATTGGCAGATATAGTTTTAAATATATGTAATTTTTTTCTTTAGAGCTTACTAACTGTGATTCAACTGTTTAGCCTCTTGTGTTATAGTGGGAAACGTTAGATGACAGATTTTCACATCTTCTATTGCCAAGGAATTCTTCATCCATTATTTTACTTTCAAAGGATTCTGGAGTTACAGGCAAAACCGCAGAGTGTTTGTCCCATACAGTGTTTCCCTGAAAATAAGACATACCCCAAAAATAAGCCCTAGCAAGATTTCTATGCATTTGTTAAATATAAGCCCTCCCCTGATAATAAGACCTAGTGATGGGTGTGGAGACATCCTCTAGTGATGCATTTCAGTGCAGAGACATCCCATGAAAATAAGCCCTAGTGTGTCTTCTTGAGAAAAAATAAATATGACAGTGTCTTATTTTCGGGGAAACACGGTACTACTTCCAACAACAATCAAAGTTAATGAAAAGTCTGTTTTAATATATGGGGAAACTGAGTGAACATTTGTATGAAGCATCTTTGTATACAGACACTTTCATAAGAATCAAATTATTGAATCTTCATAGCCACCCTATGAGATTATACTTCTGTTAAATTTTACTAAAGAAATTGGAGCTTTACAAAATCCTAGCCAATAGATTACAGCTTATCATCAAAAAAGTCATACATTATGATCAAGTAGGTTTCATCCCAGGGATGCAAGGCTGCTCTAACATACACAAGTCCATAAATGTTATTCACCCTATCAACAGAAGCAAACATAAAGACCATATGATCCTCTCAATAGATGGAGAAAAAGCATTTGATAAAATCCAGCATCCTTTCCTAATTAGAACACTGAAGAATATAGGCATAAGTGGCACATTTCTTAAACTGATTGAAGCTATCTAGGACAAACACACAGCTAATATTTTACTGAATGGAGTAAAACTGAAAGCTTTTCCACTTAGAACTGGAACCACACAAGGTTGTCCTCTATCACCACTACTATTTAACATAGTGCTGGAAGTTCTAGCCAATACAATTAGGCAAGAGAAGGAAATAAAGGGCATCCAGATAGGAGCAGAGGAGGTCAAACTCGCTTTCTTTGCTGATGATATGATCTTATACTTAGAGAACCCCAAAAGCTCAACCACAAGACTCCTGGAAGTCATCAAAAAATACAATAATGTCTCAGGATCTGAAATATCCACAAGTCAGTAGCCTTTGTATATGCCAATAACAGCCAAGATGAGAGGCTAATTAAGGACACAACTCCCTTCACCATAGCTTCAAAGAAAATGAAATACCTAGGAATATAAAAGAACATGAAATACCTAGAAATATACCTAACAAAAGAGGCGAAGGACCTCTATAAAGAAAATTATGAAACCCTAAGAAAAGAAATAGCAGAGGATATTAACAAATAGAAGAACATACCATGCTCAAGTATATGTCTATACTTTCCAAAGTGATCTACAGATTCAATGCTATCGCCATTCAAACACCAGCATTGTACTTTCAAGGCTTGGAAAAAATAATTCTTCATGTTGTGTGGAACCAGAAAAAAACCTGTATGGCTAAGGCAGTTCTTAGTAATAAAAAACAAAGCCAGGGGCATCAGCTTATCAGACTTTAGCCTGTACTGCAAGGCCATAGTGGTCAAAACAGCATGGTACTCACACAAAAATAGAGATATAGACATTTGGAATTGAAAAGAAAACCAGGAAATGAAACTAACATCTTACAGCCACCTAATCTTTGATAAACCACAGAAGAACATACACTGGGGGAAAGACTCCCTATTCAATAAATGGTGCTGGGAGAACTGGATATCCACATGTAAAAGACTGAAACTGGACCCGCACCTTTTTCCACTCACAAAAATTGATTCAAGATGGATAAAAGACCTAAATTTATGGTATGGATCAATAAAAATCCTTAGAGAAAGCATAGGAAAAACATTTGATGATATCTGCCTAGGGAAAGACTTTATGACGAAAACTTCTGTGGCAACTGTGACAATAACAAAAATAAACAAATAGGACTTAATTAAACTGAAAAGCTTCTCTACAGCTAAGGACACAACAACCAAAGCAAATAGACAACTTACACAATGGGAAAGCATATTTGCATATTTTGAATCAGACAAAAGCTTGATAACTAGGATCTATAGAGAACTCAAATCAATCCACATGAAAAAAGCCAACAATCCCATGTATCAATAGGCAAGAGAGATGAATAGAACCTTCTCCAAAGAAGACAGACGGATGGCTAGCAAACATATGAAAAAATGCTCATCGTCTCTATTTATTAGAGAAATGCAAATCAAAACCACCCTGAGATATCATCTAACCCCAGTAAGAATGGCCCACATCACAAAATCTCAAAACTGCAGATGCTGGCATGGATGTGGAGAGAAAAGAACACTTTTCCACTGCTGGTGGGACTGCAAACTAATACAACCCTTTTGGAAGGAAGTATGGAGAACCCTCAAAGAAATCAGTCTAGATCTCCCATTTGATCTTGCAATCCCATTACTGGACATCTACCCATAAGGATAATAATCCTTTTATCTTAAGGACAATTACACTAGACTACTTATTGCAGCTCAACCTACAATCACCAAAATGTAGAAACAGCCTAAATGCCCACCAAACCAGGAATGTATTAACAGACTATGGTATATGTACACCATGGAATACTATTCAGCCATCAGAAAGATGGAGACTTTACATCCTTTGTATTAACCTGGATGGAAGTGGAGCACATTATTCTTAGTAAAGCATCACAAGAATGGAGAAGCATGAATCCTGTGTACTCAATTCTGAATGAGGACAACTAATGACCTAGTACATGGTGGGGAGTGGGGGAAGGGGAGAGCACAGAGAGAGAGAAAGAGGGAGGGAGTAGTGGAAAGGAAGAGCAGAGAGAGGGGAAGAGGAGGGAGGGGATGGGAGAAGGGAAGAGCAGTGAGAAGGAAGGAGGGAGGGGATGGGATCTTGGTGTGTGACACACCTTTTAGGGGCAAGACACAATTATAAGAGGGACTATAACTAACAAATTTAATCAGTATAACCTGGTTTCTTGTACCCTCAATGAATCGCCAACAATTAAAAAAAAGAAAGAAAAATATTGGAGCTCAGTAAGTTTGTGTCCCTTGCCTGAATTTTCATCTGCGAGGTGATAGAACTAGAATTAAACCTTGATACTCTGCCCCAAATTCCATATTTTTTCAGCAAGTAGAAAATAGCTATAATTGATTGAAAAACAGTTCTGTGTGTATGATTTAGAAGAATAATTTTGATTTTAAGTCAGAGTGTGGTACAAAGCCTAAAATGCTACTTGTGTTGCTGTGACACAGTATTATTATGTAATTTTTATTCCCTCCCTACTCAAGGATATTTCTTTATACCTAGGCCCCCATTAGCAAATTAGAGTTTATATTGCAATGCTTTATGGTGATCCATACAGGCCTGTCTTTGTTGAAGGTTGTTATAAGCACAGACTCTATTTTAGTTATAACAGTGTTGTATCAAGTAACTTAAGTAGATGATTATCGGCATCAGCTTAACTGTTCTTAACTTTAACAACTTTAACAACAACAGAAAATGCTGAGTATAAGAGTGTAAGTGTGAGTGACCTGCATCATGAAAGCCCTATAGCCTATTAGGAAAAATTTGTAATGTTTTCCCCAGTTTGACAAAATGCCATTGGTAAATATAGCCTATCTATCCTGTCTGATCTTACCACTAAATAAAGAAATATATATAAAAAATGTTGACATAGTTTCTACTAAAAACTTTATGTATGTTGTATAATAGGGTCCTTCAGCCAAGGTATCTTGTCCTTGTTTTGCTCATAAATCTCATTTTTAATAAAGATTCATGCTTGTAAGTGTCAAAAATTTAAAGCATTTCATTTCTTCTTATTTTATGGTTTTATTTTCTTCTCTTCAAAAAGCGGTTGTAAATGAAATGTTTTCCTTTCTTCTACTGGTTTCATTTTGCTGGAGTGTTTATTACACTCAATCAGATACTTTCAGAAAGCTACAGTTAAGCTCTATACTCCATGGAAGCTTTGTCAGTGCAAACGATATATACATATCTATAAAACACAGGAGATCCTAACCTTATTATAATTTCAATGACTGGTAGTACCCAATTGTTTATTTTTTATTTCAGAGATCCCGGAAGACCCACTTGTGGCTGAAGAGTATTATGCTGATGTGTTTGATTCCTGTTCTGAAGAGAGTGAGGAGGAAGAAGAAATAGTGTTCTCAGCATCAGAGGGAGAGGTCAAGGATGAGGGACCCCAGCCTCCTTACCGAACACACCAGCAGGTACATACCTTCCCCTGCCACAGTCATGGAACTGTCTGAGGTACTGATTGGACTCTCTTCCAGAAAGAGTAAAGAAAGCTTAAAACCCTGAAGTGAAGGATAAGGGACTTGGGCTGTGATAATGACTCCATGTGACAAGCCTTGATTTCTAAGACCCAGGGGTAGGTGCAGCCCTATGGAGTTCCAAGGATCTGATCTGGACCATATTGGTGAGGGGAGGGCTGGAGGGATGGTGCACACTATGTTGTCTGCACACTGAGGAACGCTTCATATACAGCTACTAGAAAAACAATCCAAGTGTCTCTTTAGAAGAAAGAATGGGATTTTGGTATACTTTTCTACTTGGTAATCAAATTTTTGAGTCATATTTACACACTTAATGCAAATACAAATTTATAAAGAATGACTTCCTTCTAACGATGAAACACAAAGATCCTGGGCTTAAGAGATGATCTTTCTAGCAATGTTCATCTTCTGAGGACTTATCCTTACATATAGTGCTGAAATCTCTGAGTATATCCCCTTATAGTAGATCTTTCTAACTATGGCAAAGTTAAGCCCTATGTGGCCATAGGCCAAGAAAGAGCCCTGGCATGTGCTTTCTGTGTTGTGTCTATACAACAAGGAGAAGGAAAAAGCACCCCTCGTGTGAGGAGAAAGACGGAGACTTCAGGCAATTTATGTACATATACTGCACTTTCTCCTTAAGTGATACCTGGTAAACCTTTCAATCCTGTACTTCTATGAAGTACAGAACTTTTTATTAACTGGGAATATTCAGTAACTAAAATAAAAGTCAATCAGGGGTATGTGAGTCACTGCAAACTTAATTCAATAGATGATTTTTGGAGTAGAGGAAAGGTTGTATGCCATTTATTCAATCATTTTAAATAAGGCACGAGCAATATACCACAATAATAAATAAATAAGAACAGTAAGAAATGTTCTCATGTTTTGTATCAGAGAAAGAGGCAGGGAAAAGAGAACTAGAAGAGCATGGACATGGGACTGAGCAGAAAAAGTGACAAGAGCAAGAGAAAAATAAAGAGAAAAGAGCAGAGAGAGAATTTAATAGCCGAATACATGAAGAGACAAACAAATAAATGTTGAAAAAAATACCGAATTAAAGAAGAGATTCAGAACACCCAAATAAAAACTTTCCTTAAAGCATTTCCCCATTTTTCCCAGTGGAATCTGGAAAACAATAGCACCTCCTACCAGAGATTGAGAATGTAATTTCCATTTGCTTCTGAGCCATTGTTGTAAACAACTGAAACAAATGTTGTTATAAGATTATAGACTTCATTCTGTGCCAGTGATTATAAAACATGATACACAAAATACATAGTGCTCAACTTTTACTCAAAACATCAAGTGACAAAATTTTAGGTACTCATAATAACACTTAAAAATATTTTTTAACATAGTAGAACTGACACAGAAAGCCACATGAATAAAATACTAGATGGCAAACACTTCCTCAGTCAAGAAATAGGAGTCCAGGAGCCCCATCTTTGGTATAGTTGTCAGAATACGAGGTTGGCGATCAGAACACCTGTATCCAAGTCTGTGCTTCATCACTTGAAGGTTCAATGACCCTTTACAAATTACTAAACTTTGCTGCACTTCAGTTTTCTAATTCATAAAATGGGAGAATAATGATTCCTACTTGATAGAGTGGTTTTGAGGATTAAATGAATTAATCAATATAAAGTACTTAGATTGATTCTGAGAACTTAATAAAGTGCTTAATAGTAAGATCTTAGCTGTATTATTATGGAGTTACCTAAACATCTGTGGCCTTTTGAGGACACTGCCAAAACTCCTTAATGTTAAAGAGAAATTTCATAATTAGTATGAAAAAAAAAATCCCCCTCTTCTTATGCCTGAAGACAAATGATAAATAAAAGTAGTTTTACTTGCTGGGTGTGCCTCTGTTACATGTTACATGATAGATTGTGATTGATTTTAAATAATCTGCCTCTGTTACATGTTACATGATAGATTGTGATTGATTTTAAATAATCTATTGTCTCTGTTACATGTTACATGATAGGTTGTGATCTATTTTAAATAATCTATTGCAAAAAGATGCTAAGGTCTCTCACATACACGATGGTATTTTGTCTCACAAAACCCTGTTGGGTAGTTATTCTTATTGCTGTTTTCTGAGTGAGGAAATTGAGTTTCTGAAAGAGAAGTAACTTGCTCAGAATCTTGCACAGCTAGGGAAGGATCAGAACCATACCTGAGGCCCAGGTTGGTCACATTCTCAAGTTTTTACTACTGTGCAGGTATTACTGACCTAGAGTGGACTTGGTGTAATAGAAACAGGAGTATAAATTAAATCACAGCAGAGTAATTTGTATCAGAGACAAGTAATTACAATAGCATTTGTTTTTTCCCAGTAATGCAGTATAGTTTCTTCCCTCTCCCCAACAAGGTGATAGATTTATGGTTGTCATGGGTGTAGACTCTTCTATTTTGGTTTAATTTTTAAGCAACATACAACAAATTATACTACAGAACTCAGTGCTGAGAACCTAGCCTTGTTGACGTTGTGAATTGGGTGACACCTGTCACTGTCTCTGGGATTTGCCTCTTCTCCCCTCTATCTAGTCTTGCCTTTGACCCCTAAGTGTGCCAGGGTTTGCTTAGGTGGTCATCATGCCCATGGATTTTATGTGAGGAATCAGATCAAAATGCATTCTCCTTTTTTCATATGGGGCCATAGTCACATACTTATTACTTTGACAGAAGCATGTTCAAAAGGAAAAACAGCCATGGACTTCATTCCAATTGATTGCTGAGTCTTGTGACACCTATGACAATCTTTAAGCAGCAGCATCTCCAAAGAACAATTTTATTAAGTACCTAATTGCTATTAGTCACCAGTTGTTTCCCTGCTGTAATAAGCGGAACGTCAATAACACCTTTATCTCAAGCCATTATCATATTGTTGATAACTCCTCTGTGAAGTCTGTGGTCACTGAATTGAAACCAGCCTCTTAAATCTCAGGAGAATAGAGTTTACAGCTGTCGTCTTAACAGGTTCTCCACAGCATTTGTGCGATGTCTAAGGCTGCAGGCTGATGCGTGTTTTCAGATTCTGTCTTTCCCTTGCTGCCTTGACCATCATCATGCTCCAAGACTAATAAACAGCCCAGGTGTACCAGCAGTCCACACACCAGGTGGACAATAATCCCTAGACACAGAACTCTGGTGGAAAGGCTCTGTTTGGTGAATATGATGTCACTGATGCTTATTTAAGACCACTTTTCAGGAGTATGGTGTTTGTTCTTGCTTAGAGGAAGGGCTATGGAGGTCCCTGTTTTTCCAGCTGATTCTGAAGTTTTCAATGCCTTTCCCCCAATTCCTCCTGTGGTTTTGAAATTCTCTCAGCACAGTGCAGCTTTAGGAAAAACAGAAACAATTTCCTTCTTAGAATGTTGCCACAGTGCAGAGTACTGGATAGAGGGCAGGCAAGGCCCAACAGTCTATGAAGGACACTTGTGTTAGATCATCGTGAGGGTAGGTGCCTCTGAGATTTTCTTCTGTTAGTAGTCATTAGTTTAATCAGATCATAATTATCATAACAATAGCAGCTAACATTCCTCAACACCTTCATTCTATTCAGTATTTTGTATGCTGTGTCAGCTCAGGTCTGAAGGAAGCAGGTGACAAGACAGAATTAGAGATGAAAGAGAAATGCCTGTGAAGTACACAGGGACAGCCTCAAAACTTACTGATACCTTTGTGGGGAAGGAAGGAAAGGAAGGAAGGGAGAAAGGGAGCTGATGAAAGAGTAAACACAGTAGGTGTGAGGGAACAGCCGAGGGGCCATTGTATTGTCTGGTAGTCTGTTTTATCAATACTAGACAGAAGTACTGAGCTATGTACAGGCAAAAGTTATACCAGTTCTAGGAAAAGTGCTGAGCTAAGAAAATTAAAACAAAAAGGAGCTCACCTCTCTATTATTTTTTTTAATAGCAGGTGCCAGAACTCTAGAGTCCCCATAGTGGAAATGATTTACTTGTTATTTTATATGATCTTAGTTGACCTTCATATGTGTGAGGAAGCACTTTCTGTCTTGAACTGACCTTAGAGGAAGCAGCCTCCCCACTGTTGCAGGCTGCTCATCATCTCTGCCAGTGTTCCCCCCACCTATGCCAGGCTGCAAAGCAGCCAGCCTTGCTAAAGTGTTAGTGGACACTACCACTTTGTTGTGTCACGCCTTCTGACAGGCCTTCTGTACACTTAGTGTGTGTGGCTTAAAGGAGTGACTTTGATGCACAGTTTCCACCCCCACTCCCATCCCAGCTCTCACTTCCGTCACGGTTCTCACCTCCTTCCCTCTCTCCCATTTTTTGTCTGGGATAAAGCAAAGCTCGTTTTTGATCCAGCTGGGACCAGTCACAGCTTGCTGTGGGATATAGCACACTGGGCTTTGTAGGAAGCTTTACATCCCTAAATCTTTACAATTATATTCACTGTGTGTTTAGGATCATACCCCCATTTTGCTCCAATACCAAGGGGTAGAAGGAAAAGACAGGGGCAATAGGGTAGATACAGACAAAGCAAATCTGAGCAGGAGTGCAGAGAGTCTGTGTGTTCCTCTCTATGTGAGGGTGGGGAGGTCCCCAGCCCCACGGCTTTCCTGTGGTGGCTGAGCAGAGGTCTGCAGGTAGATGGGTGGTGGAAGGACAAGGACCCGCCCTGTGAAATGCCCTGTGCTCTGCTGTGCTGGCCCTGGAGCTGCAGGGTGAAGGACAGAGCTGGGAAGGCTAATCAGAATGATACTTTGGGAGCTTTTCTCTCTAGGAATCTTCTTCCCCCACCACCCAGCACCAATTGCTGTCTCTCTGGCTGTCATCAGAGCTGAGATGCCTTGACCATATGGTACACAAAACATCTATGAAAAATATGAAAACTTTCCTAAGCAGCATTTGCAAATAGAAAAATATAAAGGTCCATCCAACTGTTTTGTGATTTGATTGCAC